TTTGAAACATGAGCCATTGTGACTGTGCCCCAAATTAATGGAAACACGACAGTCAGACAACCCCACACTAATTTAAATCTAATAAATCAAAGAAACTATAATCCAATGCTAGCAGTCCCTTCAAGTATCACAAATAACCTTCAACGATCTTAATTTATCAAAAAATATTAATTTAATATTATCTATATTCAACATCTCAAAATATAACTATCACCAGATAAAATATACGATGTGTTTTTTTATTTTGTTGAAATAAACAACTATACTTGTTAATGAAAATAGTCATTAGCTGAAAAATAACCCTTTACAGTGAAAAAAAGTAAACGATGGCTCCTGAACTCTTTTCAGTCAATGATCTACATGAAACAAAACAGCCATAATGCTATAATACAGTTACCTAATAAATGCCTCATAAATGAATGGAGATGATCCCCATATAACAGCTAACCGTTAACTAACGGGTAATAAGTAAATGTTGCTTACTTAGCCCAAGTTCACTAAATTTACCTCAAGGATCGCGGTAGGGACAAACATTTCATTTATGTAACAGAGCCATGCTAACACACACAATTCAATTGCCTCGATCTGAACAGAAAGTAGGGCAAATGAATGGCTTTGCTATTAGCTAGTGTGCTACCTCGCTAACTAAAGCTAACGTTACTGGTCGTTATGCTAGCTGCGGTTTCAGAGCAGCTAATTAGCTCGCCGGCTGACTCCTCTCGTAGTCGAGCGCTTGGATTACCTGTCTGGCTCGCTGAACGGCATCTGCGAAAGCGTCGTTTTTCATTCCTGCTCCGACTCCATTTGATGGCAGAGAGCTGTAATCAGACATGCTGCTCCCAGAGGGCTAACACAAACACGCGCGCGCGCGCACACACACACACACACACAGGGGGGGCAGGCAGGCTGGACAGCTTTGGCCGGGTCGAGCTGCGCAGAAGCGGGAAGGTTAACAGGAGCGTACAGGGAGACACCGATGTGTGTGAGATCTCCTACCACGCCGGCAAACTTCCCTGCTTGAAATAACCAATCAATGCATGTTCGACCCCGGGTTTTCTTCTTCCTCTTCCTTGTACCTTTGAGGGTTAAATTGTTAAAAATTTCAAACACAATAAAAAATTTCGCCTCCATCTGGACTGGAGCGTAGTTGCACTGAAATTGCACAGAAACCGATGTCTAGTCATCTCAATGTTTTTTCTTTCAATGTGTTCAAGTAATTGTATTATGGTAGGCTTTTTAACTGTATTTTTTAGCTTAATAACATTATATCACATATGTAATTTCCTTATGTAGAGATACACCATGAAGACATTGCAATGGATGCTTAAATTTATGTTTATACAGACAGTGTTTGCAAGTAAAGGAATACATGTACCGGCGTTACGTATTTAAAATGCAAAATATGAGTAACTGTATTCCGTTACAGTAACCTTTTAAAAGGGTGGTATTCAGAATACAGCTATATTTATTTATTTATTTATTTTTTAAATAAATGGATTACACGGTGGTCTTTTCCTGTTTCACATGTTAGGCTATGACATCTCTATTTTTGGTAATTCCATGCCAGGGAAACCCAAACAAAACAGGCATTAAGAGGCTCTAATGCCTGCGTCTCAATCTCGCGGCCCATGTCACCCCTACTTGCGGCCGCATAATGACGTGAAGAAATATTTTTAAAAAGTTATTCACAAAAATGATTTAATATGAAGGCAATAGGCAGAGTGTTACAGGCATAGCCCTAAATAATGTAGCCTGATGGGCAGTGTAGTGCGTGCTGCAGGGAGAATGGACTGCCATACCCGTGTGTGTGTGAGCGCGAGGAAGGGAGAGAAAAACTGGAGTGGAAAGTCAGAGTTGTCACCGAGCAGAATCGGGAGATGGAAGCATGTAAATGTAATAATAACCACTACAGCCAAAAAGAGTGCCTGACGAGCCCAGTTGTAAGTAAGCTGTTAAGACTCGACTGTACACTGTGTTCTGTTTTCCTCCGAAACAACCTTTCAACGCCTCTCTCTGTCTCGCTAGCAAAGTTGACCCAGACAAGTTAAGGGTAGCTAGTTTTCGGCTACAAGCCCGCCAGAAGTTTCTTTACAACGGCTCTGAGCCGCAAACCTGTTTTATATACGCGCGAATAGTTTTCTATACGAGATCGCTGCAAAAAGTGCAGCCTTACCTAATGTCCACCCTACTGTTACTCATTTTATATTAAGATTTAAAAATCTAGTTGGTATTGGTATGGCGAGTAACCTTCAGTAATAGTAATAAATCACACAGCAATAGTACATTCATGTAGTTGTAAAAAGCATGATAATATATTAAGTAATCCAAAGTATTCAGAATACATTAATCTTATTGTGTAACGTAACGGAATACGTTACAAAATACATTTTGGGGCATGTATTCTGTAATCTGTAGTGGAATACATTTTAAAAGTAACCTTCCCAACACTGGATACAGATAATAAGATACTTGTGGTTTAGATGAGTCATTGCCCTGTTAAAATTTGTTCATGTGGCAATAAATCTGGGGAGAAATTATTCTGCAAAAAAACATCTGCTAGAGAAATTATGGTGTCAGAATATTACTCCCACTCAGCGATTATATGCTCTGTCCCTTTGTGGCTTTCACTGCTGGCTCTTTAGTGAAGTTTGAAGTGGCTTTGGCCATTTATGGCTACCCTTTGGCTCTGGTCCTGACAACCAGTAGCGGTTTTTAATACGGGCGGTTGCCCGGGGCGGCATCGTTACATACAGCATACATAGCGCTACATACAGTCCAGTATATAGAGAGGCAAGACGACGAGGCTCCAGTTACAGCAGTGCAAGTAAACAAACAATAAATATAAGAAGAGTAAGAAAATAAATATACACTTTACGACTAGGGATAAAGGGATCAATAACAATTTAAAATTTATAGTTTGATGATTTAAAGTCTCACACACAACCCGTCGAAAGGGCAGGCGGCCGGCTGCTTCCAGAGCACATTTCATTCATAATGTTGTCAGTCCAAGCCCATTATGTATTCATGATTTGAATCCTGGGTTGTGCGAAATCCCAGACATAGACCCTAGACAAAGTGAATCTGTGAACTAAGGTGTAGGTCTATTAGGTCATGTTGTGGTGATGCTCAGGTTGGGGAATGGGTGTTCGTACTGGAGTGCAAAATTAAAACCAAGATGGACAAGAAAAGTTAGAAAGCTTAGAAAAAATAGAAAAGAAGAGGAGGAGAAACAAGCAAAAGATACAGGTAAGCAGATGTGTCATTGGATAATGGCAGGGCATGTAGCCTGAAACTATCAGAATCAGAATACTTTATTAACCCCTAAGGAAATTATGTGGGTTACAGTTGCTCCAAGAAGAAATGGTAAAAAACAGTAACAGACTAAAATTCCAAACATACATCTGTCATGACTTTAAAAAATAAAAACTGGATGTACAAGTTTTCATTTTTTTATATCACCAATAATATTTGGCTCAGTGCTAAGTGCCTTAGCAAGATGCACCTCAACCAAACACTTTTGGTAGCCATCAACAAGCTTCTAGTACAATTATTGTTGGATATTTGACCACTCTTCTTGGCAGAATTGGAGTTCATTTAAACTGGTTGGTTTCCTGGCACAGATCCATTTTCAACAGTGTTGAGAACTTTGGGAAGGCCATTCAAGGAGCTTTAGAATAGAATAGAATAGAATAGAATAGAATAGATTTTTATTGTCACTGCTACAAGAACAATGACACACAGTTTAGCATCTTTCCATTGTGTGTAATACACAATAACGTAACATTTACACAAGAAAGATATGTATAAGTTATACATACAAATGCATACATACGGATACACCCACCCATACATACATACACACACGCACACACACACACACACACACACACACACATATATATATATTATATATATAACATCCATGACTCTTGTCAGTGCAGTTAACCTTCAATCAGGTTGGAGGTAGGGCATGTTTGACAGCCTGTGGGTAGAAGCTTCTGTTGAGTCTGTTTTTTTGCCTTTATGTTTATTGCCTGCTTTATCCATTCCTGCACCAGTTTTGATGTGTGTTTGGGATCAGTGTCCAGTTGAAACACCCAACTGTGTCCAAGTTTGAACTGTGTAGCTATTGATCTGAGTGAAATTGAAGAATTTGGAGGTTTTCCTATTTCTTCATTATTATCAACTGTTCCCAATTGAACAGTCTTGACCGTTAGAAGAACTAAATTATATATGGTAAGGGCCACAATTCTGATAAAAAAAAAATCCTCATATTGTATTGCAAATTAAGAGAAATCTGACAATTTCAAAGATTTGGAAACATTTAAAAACTCAGTCTTCACTGGCGTTCAACAACTTCTAGACTGCAATGAAGTGCTCTCCTGGATAACCGCAGGAAATTATTTGGAAATTCACAAAATAATTACTTCTCATAGGAAACGGTAAGTACAAACCCCACAAACAATTTTTCATTCATTAAATTTGAATTTAATTGCATAATTGCTGTGTATCAGGTAAAAATAACAAGCTGGGGTTTAGTAGGAGTGTTCTTAAAGTCTGACTTTCATCTTTTAACACACTGTCACCAAATACAAGGAGCATTCAATAAACACAAATTACAAAGTTTATTTAGTTCACTGCTTTCATTTTATTTCTCATTGATACATATTTTGATATTGAGAAAAAATGTTCACTTGCATTAAATACTATTATTGTTTCATGATACAGACAAAGATAAGTCTTAGTATAGTGTTTATGAAAATACTGTACATGGCACTGGCCCATGTGGTAAGAAAGCATTCAAATACCTCTCTGCATAAGAACAGTGACATTACCCATGAGCATTTAGCCAAAGAGGTTATCTGAAACAATCTGTGCTCCTTGATATGGCTTTGGCAGTTCATCTTCTGTAAAACATAAAGTCTTTGGGTGTGCTTTATTCAGTTGTAACTCTTCTAGAAAATGCATGGCAGAGTGCCTCTTCAGTAGTTTTTTTTTTTTCAATACCTATTGCTTTGCTTTACTAATTGTGGCCCTTTTAAGTCAGGAGTGTACCTCCACCCTACATATTCCACATGTACAAGGACTGATCCCCCAAGCTCAGTTACTGTGTATACTGTTTAAGACATCACCTGTGGTGTACACACAATGGTTGGCAATACTGCAGTGTAGGTGCAATGTGTGCAGGGCTTTTTACAAACTTGATTTCCATGGAGTCCAGAAAACATGAGTATGGTGGCGGGGTGCGGTTTGTGGCGCAGCGGCAGGGGAGGGATGGGGCAGAGGTCTGACTGGCACTGTTGCCAGTCATCAGCTAATCGTGACCTCCCTTATTTACACAGTAGGACGTTGGGACCGGCAGTGTGAAGCAGAGAGAGAAATCAGAGGGACGCAGACGGAGGAAAGGGCACTGTAAAGTGTGACCACTAAATCACTAATTGTGAGAATAAACAGGGTTTGCACAGTTGAAACTGAGAGACTGGAGTTGTGTGGTGTGTTTCCCGTGACCACTGTGTTACAGTTTGTTCAACTTGCATTGAGTGTTTGTGTCTATTGTTTGTGTAATTGTGATTAGCAGAAGTTTCCACTTGCTGGTAAGAAAAGATGTGAAGACAGGTCTGTCTGTCCAAAGGATTGTACAACCGGCTTTGTTCAAGTCAAACGGAACCTTGATGTTACCGCAAGCTCAAGAGGAAGTGTTAACGATGCACCCACAAGGCTGTGAAGAATGTATCCTAAAGACACCACAGGCTACACCAGCCCAGCCAGTTTCAGAGGACTCAGGTGATGTGAGCTTTGTGTCGCTGGGTTGTGTTTTCGGTCAGCTATCTGCACAGTGGCACATCCGTGGCCTTAGGGGCCTTCTATTTGACCTGCATCCCTTTACCCGCCTCTTTATCGTCCTGCAAAGAGTTTAGGTTGAGTGACCCTCATCATTGTGGTCATCAGGTCTGTATCTTAGCAACATTTATCATCTTCTTTCACAGAGGCTGAGGCTTTAGGCCTGGCCTCTGAGTTTCCAGCCACAGCGTTGCCGAAGGCTCTTGATCAAACAGGGTGGTGTGTTCTTATGACTACGTAGTAGTTCAAGCAAAGTTGAAACAGAGAGTTCAATGTGAGACAGGTGGATTCCCTCATCTGCACAGCCCCTGACATTCTCCAGTTTCTACAAGTCCCTGTTAGCTTTGAGGGGACTGATTGCAGCCATGAAAACAACCTTTGCTGGTCGTCATAAACTAGCACCTGTATTGCCTGGTTGCCAAAAGTGCTCGTAGTGTTATGCTGTGCTGTCCTTTTGGACGAACTTGTCCACTTTTACCAGATTTGACTGCTAAAAGTGACTTAATTGAAAAACACATGCTAGATTCTGTAGCACATGGCTCACATATGGTTGAGAATGATGTTGTTTTTTCACTGTAGCCAAGTGGCTTTCCTTACATTTGCAAGTAGGCGTAGTGCTTGGGAGAGGCAGCTAACCTTTGGTAGCATCTTGGATCAAAACCATGAGCATATGCTTATGTGTAGAAGAACTCTACAATCACACTAGTACTCAGCTGCCATTTTGTGCTACATTTGCTTCGTTTCCTAACTGTGTTTGTTACAGAGTCCTCATATACATGGAAAATGGGTGGAGAGAGAGCCTTGATACATAAGAGAACAGTTAGTTACTTTGTAACCTAGGTTCTCTGACTCTGTAGCCAATCAGTGATGTCTCTTAAAGAGTATCCCCATGGAGATCAGACCCCTTACATGTAAAATATGTGGGACTGGGAGACCCTGTAAGTCTCTCTACTTAGAGAGAATTGAGGAAATTGGATCAGCCCTCCATCTTCTCTAAGTACCACCTGGAAGAAAAAAAATAATGTTGTAGCAATATAATATGGTTTTCAAGATCGACTATACCTTTTACCTGTTCTCAGTCAAGTTCATGCAAATCCTCATATGTCCAGGTCACTCCAGCAGCAAAATGTCAGTCTGTTAGCTTTCACACATCTGCTGACATGCATTGCAAAGCAATTACAGATCACATGTCACCTAAATGTTAGAATTTCAAACAGATTACTGTATATGTAACATACAGTATATATGTCGATTTCTCTCATCCTTATCTTCAAAATTCAAGACTTACATTCTCTTGTATCATTCAAAAGCCTGTCGACCCATGCACTTCCAACAGCTTGCAGGTAAAAAGCACCACAGTTTCTCCTTTTGCTACCCCTTTCCTTTTCCTACCCTCCTACCCTCTATATCCACTCCAAGGAATATCCTTGTGTATTCATAGACGACATAGGACACGCTCACAGCGGGGATGACTTTGAGCATGTTGGGAGAAATTCCTCGATAAAGTCCAGTGATGCCCTCCTGGCTCAAAATGGTTTGAAGCAATGTCAGCATGGAGACTTTAGGGGCTCCCTTCACTGAAGCTGTTGGGAGAGTAAAGAGATGAGCCACATCAAGATCATTTTAACACAAGGGGCACAATATGGTCTTCATCTGATGGAGCTGAACATGTCAATCCTACATATTTCTGAACTTGTTATAAACACTAAGCAAACTCTGTTGAAAGAAAACTGAGCTAAAGACTCTGGAAAAAAGTTAAGAAATATACCTTGGACTAAGATGTTCTTTGTTTCCTTTTTTTGGTCTACTCTTTAAAAGCCCTGTGGTGGCTCGACATCTTGCTAACAGGCAGTTTATGATTCTGTTTTAAATTTATGTTTTAAATTTATGCCATAAGTACACTGTAACCTGATTTGCATCTCCCTGGAAATCTAATGACATAGATGCATAGATGCAACCTGCGACTATTGTGATTGGCCTTTTCAGTACTGTTAATTTTTCCTGTGGATTTCCAAACAAATGGAAATGATTTGTTTCCCTATGACCAGAACAAATAGAAGGGACACAGGACACAGGAAAAAGGACCCAACACTTTATTTCTTTCTATTATGGCCGGGGCAACATATAACTAACTAACCCATAAAAACCCCCACGAAAGCATGAATTCTGCTAAAGAATTCGGCCACTTACGTAGGTTGCATCGTAGGCTTTACATAGATTTACAGCAGAAGGCTAAATCAGCCGTAAGACAGTTATTCGACTAAAGTGCACAACCCCTCAGAACCGTAATTGTCAATAACCAAAGCATATGACAATATTTCTTCGAGACGGCATCAGCTTATATTGTAGTACTTGTCCATTTCAGCTGTATTAGCACAATAAAAACAGTTGCCCTCATTACTTTATGCGATTATGTGCAGTTGATGCTTTGAATGATCCTTTACCATATGTATCGCCTGGAGAGTCACATCAAATCTTATAAATATAAAATTCATATATGAAGGAATTTCTTTGCACACCAGCATGTGTTGAAATTCCTCTCACTTGTCACTTATTTGTAATTGTGAGTACAAGCACGCGTATCCTCACCTTGCGCTTGCATTCGGGTACGGATCAGCGCCAAAGGGTAACTTGCCAGTTGTCCACAAGTGCTGGACACGGCACCACATCCGACCAGCACCGTGACCCCTGGGTCCACTAAACCTCTGTTCCTGTTCAGCCAAGAAAACTTCAGAGTCTGTTGAATAAAAGACATGAAAAGAAGGTCAAGACTAAGGAAAACACAGCGGGAGCTGTAGGTTTTCATGTCTCTCTGACCTCGTAGACAGCCAGATCGATGCCAGCGTAAGGGATAATACCCAGCAAGTTAGGTATATAGCCCTTGTAGAAGGCTGCGACGCCTTCTCTCTGTAGGATCTGTTTGGCACAGTCTGCTATTCCTGAGTATTGACCTGTTTTTCTCAGTGTGAGACGTGTCTTTAACACCTGAGGGGAAGAAAGAGAGAAGGAAAAGAAACAGAAGCAGACAAAAGGAGAGAACTTGTTCATTTTCATTAAGTCTATAAAATGTGTTTTCTCAATAATATAAAAATATTCTTTATGTCTGTTACCTCCATTGGATAGATGGCTGTCTGAGCTGTTGCTCCAGCCAAAGAACCGGCAACGAATCTCTCATGTACTTTTAAAGTCCTAGATTCATTACTGCCACGCATCATTTTCTTGATCTGTGCAGAAATACATAATTTTTAAGTTAATAATGTGAAATGGTTGTACAATCAGAGAAGAAAGACAAATTATTTTGGCAATTATTGTTAATGTATCGTTAAAAAGTAAACTGAACAATAAGAATAACATGACTGTCAGCTTTTACATCTGTTCCATGCAAGCTTTGCTTTTAAGATGTCACCAAGCACAAAATGTCCAAGAAATTCAAGCTGTGTTGAGTTGTGAAATTAAAAAAAAAGATGACTGGTAGCTATCAGCAGCTTTCCTCAATATTGGATGCTAGAACAACTAAAACACTTGTAGAAAATCTACCTGGTAAAAAAGCAAAAAACAAAAACTGAAGCCCTGGTAATGGAAACAGCAAGGAAAGAGAGTAATAGAATTGAAAAATAGCACAAAGTGAGCCTCAGATTGGGTCAGTGGTGAGCACTCCAGGATTTGGAGGGTTTGTGGTTCTCAGAATTTCTAGTAGATCAGTAGGTAACGGAAGCTGAATGCCTGTTAGTCTAATACTGGAGTCCCATTGTTTTAGATCAGGTGCAACATTTACAGACCAGTAAAGCCACTGCGTAACACCCCGTAAAAACACTTCCTTTCTTTTGAGGCAAAGAAAAAAAATCTTTGCCTTCATAAACAAAAGCAATAATTTTAAAATTTAAAATGCAAGAGAATTTTACAAAATCAAATGTTTATTTATTCATATAATTAATGATTAAGGACAGTATAAACAGTATATTTACATCGCAGTTATGAAACAAAATTAGACGTAAAGTTTACACGCAAACTGGTGCACGAGCGAGGGGAAAGCGTTTATTGTGTATAATAATACACAATGAGGAAGTCAACATTTTGGGTGACATCCTTAATGAGGAAACAACACTGTCATGTTTTAGAATTTAATGAGCATTTTCAGGAAAGCACCTCTCATTAGTTAAATCTTTTTTTTATTTGTACCACAGAAGGTTAAAAACATTGTGCAGTCTTGTTGCCATGCAACCAGAATACAGTGAAGGAAATAATAGCCTGAGAAGTCCTGCATCTGTTTCTCACTTCCGCGATATCTCGACCAAACTAGCTGCTGCTGGTTTGGATTCATGTTCGATACAGAGAGAATAAATAAGAGAATATGTTTATTTTTCACAATGATCTAAATAGATCATTTAGAACGATTTCAATATTTGGACAAAGGAAAATAATAATAATAAGAGAATGATGAATCACGGTAAAGCCTTGAAAGAGTTAGGAGTGTAAGGTGAAAAATTGAATGTGTGTTCATAGTTTTCTCCACCTGTTCGTAAGCTGCAAACTTGATAGCAGTCTCCGGGGCAATTTTTAGGACATTGATTCCATTTCCCCTCCACAGAGACCAGATTCCTCCCTCTTTCACCATCGTCTGAAAATTGCTTAGCACATTCCCTTTAAAATCAGAGGAGCCGTGTACCTGGCAGAGTAAAGCAAGAAAGTCAATATTAAAGCATCAGAGCTCAAAAAAGACTTTTTATACATAAACAGTAACACATGGATGAATTCAGAGTGATCAGAGAGATAAGGCAGTAAGTGCACCAGTCTGACCTGTCGAAAGACTTTGAGCCTGTCTAAAGGGGCCGTTCCAGTCCGGGATACAGATCCGGCTATGGCTCCAGCCATCAGCTGCCGCCAGACAAACCCAGACTTCTTTTCCTCCTCTGAAAATTCATCTGGGACTGTCAGCTGCTCACCGATGTCCACCATCTACTGAAGCCATGCAGGTCAGAAGATGTAGAAAAAAAAAAGTAACAAGGAGTGGGGAATAAAAAAATATTTTGAATTCTTAACAGTGGTGTCAAACACACTGCATACTGTATGATAAATTTTGTTTCCGACTTTACCAATGAGCGTTTCCAATGGCACGCCACTTCCTCCATGTTAGTGATAGGGTTAAACAGGAAGTGGTCCCGCCACTCATTCCAGTTAATGGTCATTGTACCATCCTTATCTATACTGTGGAAACACATATAAATAAATATTAAAAAATAGATAAAAAGGTCATAAAATTCATATAAAGAAAAACACCAGAGACTGTACAACAAAGATGGACACAGCCACAGTGACATCACCCTCTGGTTAGAATGTCTGCAGGGTTCAGACACCTTACGTCTGAAACCACAGTAAGTTCATGTAAATCGATAAAAGTTCATCTTATTATTAACTACTACTACTACTATTAGTAGTTCAGCGGCTGCACTTCCTCTATGTCCTGAGGAAGAATAACCTGGACCAGAACCTGCTGCTGGCATTCTACAGCTCCTCAGTGAAGAGTGTGCTCTAGTACTGCCTGGGTGTTTGGTATGCAGGGGTCACAGCTGAGAACAGGAAGGCTGCGCAGAGGGTAATTAACACTGCCCAAAAAAATCATTGGCTGCCCTCTGCCACCCCTTGAGGCCATCGCCAGCTCCTGCTGTCTCAGGAAAACCAGGCCCATCACAGGTGACCCCTTGCACCCAACCCACCCCCTGTTTGACCTGCTGCCCTCTGGCCAGCACCTCAGGTCAATCAGGTCTCACACCTCCAGACTCACAAGCAGCTTCCTCCCCTGGGCAATTCAGACTGTCAACAAACACTATACACCCTGCCCACCAATCCTGCCTCCCTAGTCTGAGCCATGGTCGGAGTAACCTTCATCACTATGGACTCTTTTCAGACCAAGTCTTTTCTTTGCACTACTACTGAGCACTTTGCAACTATTTTGTTGTCCAATGTTTCAATCGTTCTCTTATTTTTGTATATTTTTCTCTTGTTTTCTATTTATTCCTGCTGTCTACTATTTATATTTTATCCCAGCAGGACAGTTGGTGTAGAGCACCTACAATTTTGTTGTAAATGTACAATTACAATAAAGGGCTATTCTAATCCATTCTAAAGACTCAGTTTCATTAGTGTGGAGATCTCTTCATATTCACGTTTTCAACTCTCTGAATGTTCTTCAGATCATGTTTTCAATATCCCCTTAAAATAATCCACTGATTCAATAAGTTTAGTTTTTTTTAAATATGAGGCTAAAATCAAGGTTTTATGGATAAAAGACAGCTTTTGTAAATACTACAAATCTCCCTCCTCTCCATCACTGGGCCAGAGTGAGGATTGACTCCAGCAAAAATTGACATTATATCTTCCACAAAACTAAATCTTTAGGTTAGAGAGTAACTAACAAACCTGTAACAATGGGTCACTGTGACTGAGGTGATTGAACAGCTTCTAAAGATTCTCCCCAGTTTGGTTATAGAGCATAGTCAGTGGCTTAATATTGAAAGTGTCACGCTGCTCAACCTATTAGAAATGGTGGCAGGTAGTATTTTTGATGATAGACAGGGATCGTAGGAATTATTAATGCAATATGGATTACTGATTGATAACATACCTTAACAAAATCCTGTTGGCATCCTCCAAGCTAATATTCACACCAATGTTGCGAAGACAGACCTGGATCTCTGTTGCATCTATGCGACCTGCAGATATCCACAAGTCACAGGGGTTGAGTGAGAGACGAGTGAGATAATTACAAAAACTATCATGTTGTGATCTGATACAGACCATCGTTGTTATTGTCCAGGCTGCGAAACATGTCTTTAAGCTGCTTTTCATGGCTACGAAGATACTGAGTGAACTCTTCTAAGTCCAGGACTCCATCACGGTTGGTGTCTCCGGCCTCCACGATCTGACAGCAAGGACGTGATGTAAAACAACATTTGGTCAAGAACAAAAAACAGGTCTTTAAACAAGTGTAATTACACAGTGCTGCTTGGTCCTTAAAAGTATACTTTTACTTTTACTTGAAAGTATCCGGACCAAAAATGGACTTTAGCCTGTCTACACATTACTACAAAGACAGTGTGTTTGTAGTTCTCCACAACAGCATAAGGTTGCTTCAGCTTATCAGAGCACACAGAGCTGAGGTGACCTTGACAGCAAAGAAATATCTCCTCACAAAAGTCCAGCAGCCTCTGGGCTTTACATAAACTTTGCAATCTGTTGGGAAAATATGGCTGATAGGTGTTGTGCAGTCAAGGAAATATGTGTTAAATGAAATGCTTTTCTCCCAAGAATTATCGGTTCATCTGTTTTAAAAAGTCAAAAAGGCTGTTTTATAAACTAAAACTATTAATCGAACTTTACACATCCAGCTAATAGTTAATTTAAGGTGTGAACAGAATCATTTTTAAGGTATTCACCATACTCGAAGATTTAATGGGCCACTTCAATGTTTATTTCTATTAGTGTAGCTTGCATGATTCACAGTTTACATTTTTTTTCCATTAGAAGCACATGTAAAGGGTCCAAAAGACGTACACTGAGAATCCCAGCTGCACAAAAACAGCCAAGCAATGACGCGATCAAGACGATTTTCCAATATTTCCAGTGTTTGTTAACTTCACTGTCTACTAATATCTCTCAAAACTGTGTCCAAAATTTAGTTTAATAAACAGTTTCTAATGAATGAACTGCAGATAAACAACGCACCGATTTGCCTTAAATCTATTAGTGGATATTACCTCCTTAGTGATGTTGGCAACTTTTTCATCTTTAGCCTGTGGCGATGACACCGTGTGGATTGTAATCAATCAACGGTTTCATGTAAATGTAAAGGAGTTTTTATCTGAATTTTAATTGATTATAAACAATCATTTATCTGCTGAGTATTTACGTTTGTCAGAACTGACACAGTTTCATATCTTATCAAGTTAAAAAAAAATGATAGAAAAATTTGTTGTTTGCAATCTAGAAGTTTTGAAATTTTAGAAAACATAAAAAGAAAAAAGAATGTTTGGACTTTTTCACATACTGTATGACATTTATCTGTGTGCAGCTCCTCAGTCTATAACAAGCCATTTCATTCTGATTGGCTGCCCCTCATGAAGAGAAAACAGTAATCGCTTATGTGTTCACTGTAAGAGCTTTATGACTTACAGTGAACACATTTATGCATGCTGACTTTACCATGATGTTGTCATTTGAAATTTTGGCCATGTGTGTTATGAATGTCCACAAAAGGTTTGGATGACTAGTATGCCACTCTGCAACCCTTACTCTCCTTACAGTTACAGCTACACCCCATTTTTCCAAAACTTTGGTGTCCACCTCTGTTTTATGTAGTGGCTCAAATAACAATAAGAATCCCTGTCTAGTTACCTAAAAAGTAACTCTGTCGCAGAAATATTCTTGGAAAAACAGGGGCCAAAACACACTGAAAGTAGAGAGTGAATTACACAGAAGCAGTGATAAATGTTACAGGAGAAAAAGAAACTGGACAATTATCCATGTGTAGAGAGATCAAGCATATGACAGAGCAAAAGGTTACTAATCTCAGCTTACAAAGTCCTGCTCCTTCGACCAAAATAGCATCCCGCTGCCCTTTGCATGTATGCAAAGACAGACACTCACACATTAAATCTTACCCTAACATAAGCCTCAAACTCTGAAATAAACCATATTATGCTTGCAGCCCTCTTAATTCACAAAGAGGAGCAAGGCTCAGCTTACAGTTTTCACACAGTCCAGACGAGAGAAGAAGCAGAACTAGAAGAACTGATGAGTTCTCTTGGTGAACCAGACACTTTTTACCAAAACAAACACTCAAAGAGAGAGGAGAGACACCGTGTGTGCTTTCTCAATACAAATCCATGCTGTTTATGTTCTCTGCTGCTGCTGCATAAATAGTAAGGATGCAGATAAGATGGAACTAGAAGGTAAAGGGAGAAGGGCAGAGATTTCGCCTTTCCTGGTTGTTTAATGTAAAGAGAAGAGGAAAGATGAACGGGTGCTATTCTTAATGAATAGAAAGTGTGCAGGAAGGTGAAATTTAGACACAGTTTCTCCTTCCCACAAAAACCCATGCATAAGCAGGTTAAACCACTGAGTTAAACAATGACCTTCCAACAGTAGAGCAACAAGTAATGGCAAAAAAGCACTGAAAAGCTGAATTACTGAGGTTTTATCTGAAACCAGCATCTGGTTTAAAAATCTTTCTTTACAACTAAACTGACTTGATGTGACCTTTAATGTGAAGTGGCTGCTGGTACTACAGAGTGCCCTCTACTTATGTTTGCCATTTACAGAGACCAGCCCTCATGAGTCCTCTAATGCACCTTGACTTCAATATACAAAAATGGCAAATGGCAAAGCCCAAAAGTAGAAGCCTGCTGGAGGATTTTGGTGGATATATTCTCTCTCGAGTGTGATCTGCTGTAGAGACAGTAGGCCACCTGGGGACCAAAGTTATCATCTAAAACTAAAATTAGATGTGGAAAAACCAAAGAAATAACAAAAGCATAATTGCAGGTTTACAAAACTATCTAAAATAAAAGAAATACAAAGCTGAAATGTCTTCACTTTCATTCTTGTCTACTTGTTTAAAATCTTCGCTATAACCACCCTGAATAAATGTATTGCACACTCAGTCATAAAGGTAAGGAAAGTTGAGTTCCCAGAACGTTGATCCTGTTTACCTGGACATTGCATTTCTCAACGTCCGGGTAAACAGAATCAACTTTCTGGGAACTCAACTTTCCTTTTTCCAGGATTCAGCTGGGTGGAAATGTGTAATGAGACTGGGAAGACAATAGGACTCTCCCACTGTGCTAGGAACCATTTTGAGCTTAAATTATGCTTCAGCGGGAAATCTGCTTCATAATTTATGATGTAACTGGAAACTCCTTTTAACCCTACGGTGTAACATTCCACGTAATCTGATGTGCACCTCCCAAGAAATGTAGCTACATTTAGGGTCAACGCAGCTCGCAAAGACTGAATGACGTGGAAGGTTGAAGTGTAGGGTCGTTTATCAAAATGGCCCACTATTTGTCTGCATGTTAGGTAACAAGATTTTTAAAGAGCATAGAGCAGATAAGGAATGATTTATTGACTGTTTAATGGTAAAACTGTGTCAGATGGTAAATGGACTGGTTCTTATATAGTGCTTTTCTGTTTTATCTGAGCACTCAAAGCACTTTAGACAACTTGCACATTCACACAAGCACTTTTTTCTAAGCGCTTACTATCTAACATTCACAGAAATTCATACTCCCATGGATGCATCGAAGAGCAACATGGGGTTAACGTCTTGCTCAAGGATATTTGGCTTGCAGACTGGAGCAGACTGGGATCAAACCGCAAACCTTCCAGTTAGTAGGTGACCTGCTCTACCACCTGAGCTACAGCCACCCAGACGGCTAGCTCCTAAAGACCAAAACAGTCTGATCACTGACATTGGGAGGTGTCTAATGTGAACTGGCAAATATCTGTAGAAAATGAACCCATTTGTAATGCACAGTATCACTGTATGCTGCTGTATTACCTTCTCTACTGAGCCTTTGGAAAGCCCCTGGTCTGCCAGCCCTCTCCGCAGTTCAAGGATGTCAATGTGTCCATCTTTGTTGATGTCCAGCTGTTCAAAGAGTTCAGCCCAGCGCTGCTCCCGCTCCTCGTCTGGACTAGAGGATTCACTCTCCTGGCAGTGCACCCAGGGGAACCAAGTCCGCTGGGGTCCCATGACTGGTCACCAGTCAGAGTTAGCTGATAAGATACAGGGGCACCAGTTCAGTATCCACAGCCTGACACAGAACAGTATGTCTGTTTATCTGTGAATACCTCAAACTTTCATTTGTACAACAAACTATTCAGTTATCAAAATTAAGTTTTGTTAATGAGAGCATTGCAACCCATTAGGGTCAGTAAACTGAAGCTTATGGGCTGCAAAGAAAGAGACCAAAAACAATCGAGAAAATTATTAAAACTGACTGCAAACAGTTGTTATCTGGTTGGCGGGTTTTGCAGAGGCAGCAAATGTAATATTAAGCAGAAACAGGGGCACAGCGCAGGACCCTGGACCCCAATCATAACCAGTCTCTGTGAGCCCCCTTTCTTTCTTGATCTGTATCTTTCAGTGTAGCTAATAATTAACTGTTCATATTCTGCATTTGATTAAAAAAACAAAAAACAAAACTATGACATGTCCAATAGTCTGCCCACCTTAAAATCCCCCCATGTTTGGATCCTCATCTCATAACATACTGTAGCCTGTATAAGCCTCTTAACCTTCTTACAGCCTAACACTGTTTTCAGCCTGTTTAGTGCTAAGGTACATTAGAGGTCTACCCAGATCACTGAGACACACTAGAAGTTGTAACAATGTGAGTATCCTGATAATTGTGAAAGTTTAAATAAGTCTCCCAGCTTCCGCTAAGGAGCTCTTTTGGAAGAAAGCGAAAATACCTTGTGTGGGGCCAGTGACTGTAATAAAGGGGGGCCTCATGTCCTTGCAGTGATTGGTCTGTTGAATAGACGTGGTAGTGGTGGAGCTTCTGTGATTAGTCACACCAGAGGGCGTTTCCACATAGTGAGAAATAATTACAATTACAGTCCTTTGGTTGTGTAGGCTGAATAACAGAATAATGAAATCCATTCAATTTAATGATATATGTGATAAAATAATATATAACAGCCACTTTCTGTTGGTATTTATTTCACGTTTTGAAGCAGAAGTTAAATATATCATATAAGGAAGTCTACTGTTTTTGCAGATATATATCGGGTGGTTTTGGAACATATGACAATCTTTGTGGGTGTACAAAGAGGTGCTGGTGTACAGCAAACAGCAAAAGCTGAATAAACGCACCCATAAAAGTGTCTACATAATTTTCTTTTTTAAATAAGAAGCAGTGTCACTGTGGTATTTTAAAAATGCTGTTTCATCAGCCTGAAAATCTCACTGTCTAATTGCTGAGAGTCACTGGTCCAGCATATCACGAAGACACTTGGCATTAGTGTGGCTAAGCTTTCAGTTGAAACTATTCTGGATAGAAATGATTGTTTGGAATAACTCTGAGTTGCCGTGATGTGACCTCAGTTTGTGTTATATTTTGCGGATCATTTGGAGAGGGGCCTGGGGCTGCTTCACTCACTCTGACTGTTTCTGAAATGAAAGGCCATGTGTTTCATACTGTTGGTTGTAAGTTGTACTGGGTCATTTTGGTAGATGTCACATCTGAAACTGGCTCACTGTCTTTAACAATTGCTAAACCATCCTAAGCCTGTTATCTGTGCTCTGCTAACCTTTGTTAACAGCTGACTCCCCTCACTTTGCCTTCCCTCCTTTGTTGATTCATGCCATTAGCTGTCACTTAGATACAATAAATTAGTGGTGTAAAAGCGAGGCCGAGGAGGTCAGCTTCATTTGTATAAGGTGAATGTAGCACCTCTACACCTCTAGTAGAGCCTCCACTATTTTTGAGAAATCAAAATTCAGTCACCAAGCTGATGCATTCAGGCAATTTAACTATGACTAATTTACTTACGGATGAAACACAGCAAAGGAAAAACAAACATTTCATTCCAAGCTAGAAAAGGCTCCTCCTGCCACCGAAGAGCTTTAACCCAAAACTAGATGCCCCTGAGCAGAGATAACATGAGGAGGAAGCTTCAGATGTAAACTCACTATTTTGCAGTTTTAAACCTCAATTTTGTGTGTGTGTGTGTGTGTGTGTGTGTGTGCATTGTATCTGTTGATAACAGGCAGCCGTCACAGTTTTGTTTACAAAGCCTTGATGATAGGTAGAGATTACATCTGGCAGGGTTAAACTGGGTGTACTGTAGCTGTTACATAGTGTTCCTGTTATAAAACACCATTTGAAATGAATAGAGTTGAACGCTATTATTCATAGTGGATGTGTAGTCGATTCAGAGTGTGTATTGTAGTTGAGTTTGCAGCACAGGACGTAGTGTGAGTTGTGTAAGGCGCTGTTACTGTGCCCACCCTGTTAATCTGATAGGCTACGATTAGCCTATTTTGAAAAATGAATGCAAGCAGCAGGGCATGTGGGCATCGAGTGGAACGTTTACTAAATTTGTAACCAAATACTGATGTTTTCGAACACTCTCCAGTAACTGAGTTACTGGTTATTACCGGTAAACTGGGAATGCCATGAAATACGCCGGCTCACACGTTCATCCACATACACAACAGCATTTTATCCTTTAAATACATGACAACCCCTTTCACTTGATCCTCACAGCGTTACGCACGCTGTTACGGTCTAATTATAACATCTACGAGACCATTTTGAGGCGCACTCACAGTGTGTTTATCTGCAGACCGACTCGCCGCCCATGCTCGGGCGGATGCGGAGGATCAGGACGCAGGAGAAACCGGCAGGTCCGCTCAATCCTAAAACAGCACTGGAAACCACACAAGCGGGCTCCCCTTGGCTTCAGCGGGTCTCCGTGTTCTGCGGCGCTTGGCGCTGCGTCTCGCAGATTTCTCAGACACTCTTGTTGAGGAAGCAGGAAGCGACAGAAACACGCAGTCGTCCTCCTGCTGCTGCTGCTGAAGCCTTCTGGTGGAAAAGTGTCCGATCCGTGTGTGTCCGCAGTGTACTCAGAGTGTGAAGCCGGTAATTTATTTTGCGTCAATAAAAAGAATTACTAATTGTTTACGACAAGGACTTCTCACATGACATCAGCTAGAGCCCCTGGGCCAGATTCTAAATAAATAAAGATCATCAGTCCATGTTCCCTAATGCTTATAACAGGCTAATACATTTAGGTCCATAAGTATTTGGACAGTGACAGTGTTCTTAGTTTTGCCTCTGTTCACCACCACAGTGGCCTTTCAAACAGCCATGCTGTAATTAAAGTACAAATTCCTTATATTTAAAGTTATGTTAATTTGTCCCTTTACTATTGAGCAATATGATTAAAAATGGCGGCACTTCCTAAACAGTTAATGCAGTACTTTTGTGAAATCCTTTGACTTAAAGCTGAGAGCCTGCACAGAATTGTATATCACTGAAAAACATTCTGCTAAATGAGCTTCTTTACCTTCAATGTACTTTGCGAACGGTTTTTAAAGGCTGGACACTTTCGTGCATGCTGGATTTTAACTATACTAGTTTGACTTTTTAAAAATACTTTGAGTATTCACGTGCATAACCACTCTCTGTTTATTTTAACACAGTATATTACCTAAAATTATTCATGGTATTTCAACAATTCCGCTGTTGGGCACAAGGTGTCCCCTTCTTCGTTATTTTCAGTGTGTTTGGAGGTTTCAAGTTTCCAGATCACACGTGACTGGCTTCCACACTAGTTATGTCACAAAATTCCTGCTTCTTCCCTGCAGCTCTTGAAGATGAGCACGGAGATTTTATAACCTATCACAGCTGGCAAAAGCATATGGTCGAAGGAAAAAAAGGAATCACTAACATGTAGAGAGGATATTCGTGCATGTTCAAGTCATTAATTTAAACAGGGAAGATAACCGAATGCACTGATATGTATTCATAAATGATATTTCTCTCCAGGTGAGACAGGAACATCAATGAACAAGAACACAGCTGGGGATCTTTCTGAGTATCTCAGATAATTTGGGGTTTTCCTCACAGCGTCTAATGAAACACCAGTATTTAAAAATCAGTTGACTCATGTGTGCAAATGTTTAACCAATCAGTGTCATCTTTTCATTCAGGAGGAGCACGATGTAATCTGCAGGCCTCCCATGCGTCACATTATTCAAACAATGGAAGTTATGATTCAACAGAAGCATTTTTGTCTCTATGTGTCTCTGATTTGATTTTTACAAATTTACAGTAATATGGAGTTGATCAGAATTTGGCACAAAGTTTTAGCTCTCTTTTTAACATTATTTGCAGTGACATACAGATAAGCACTGTCTGCAGAGAGCCACATAAGAGGGTTATAAAACAGCCAACTAACAAATTAGAAATGGAGAAGAAACGCTGAACCTTATTTAATGATTTTGCCAGATGTTCCTCTAATTTTGTCCACCAGCTTGTCCATCATCATCTCCGGCCTGCAGATCTCAGACATTCTCCAGCGATGAGTGGTTGTGCCTGTCCACCTGCTCCTCCCTCATCACTTTATTCTTCTGTGATATAACTCTGCAGCCCACTCTGGGTTTCGTTTATGACACACTTTTAAGATGACAGGTGTACCCTGACCACTCATGTACACTCACACATGTGATTTTCCTACTATTATATTATATATTGACTGTGTTTGTATCTCTTGTTGACAGGACTACATGGCCTTTGAGCACGTATACAGCCTCTCATTCAACGGTTTTAATCTCTATTCACTTCCCATCTCCACACCTGCTGTTCTAATCGAAGCAGATTGACAGATCAGATAGCACACGGGCAGACTGCTGTATATAAGAGCAGCACGCTTAGTCCAGGAGACTGGCTCGGAATAATTCTTCAAATACAGCTCAGTTAATTTTCCCTTTGCAGATCATTTAATACTAGCAGCTTCAATGTGTAGGGGGCTCTCCTACCTGCCTTCCTCATGTCTGGAGAAGTACGTGTTTATTTTTGATATTATGTTTTACATTAATAAATGAAACCCTGAGTTTGTTTTACATCTTCTTTTGTCTGTGTTTCAGGGCAAAAGAGATGCGGGTGAAGCTAAGCCACCTGGCTGAGACCCACCACAAGAACAAGTAAGTTCACTGAAACCCGTATTTTGAATAAGGAGTAAATCAGAGGAGCTGAAGCTACATTTCTGACTCCCTGTGCCCCTTTTATCAGGACTCAGGACGGAAGAATTCTGCAAGACTTGGAAACGCTGCTGAACAGCAAAAGTAAGATTCACTTTATTTTGCTTCTGAAGTCAGTCACCACTTTAATATTCAAACATGAAAAACAGCTCAATGTTACTGGAGGGTGAGGAGATTTGACCTTTTTCTGGTTAATTCTAGCACATCTTTACTGAGAAAGGTTAATCAGTCGTTTGCACAGGCAGCAAAGTGCTTTTATTTTGTACATAAGAACGCACACTGATATTTCAGCTAAAAATCTGAAGACATTAGGCATTATTATCACTAACATATAGTGTTCTTCCTTTTTAAAAATGTGACATGGTAATGTTTATTCAGGGTGCATCCTAACTGAACTGCTTTTTACTTTTTACTGAGTTAATTCTTATAGAATTAATTGTAAAGTAAAAGTACCTTTACTTTTATACATCTATATCTCCTGTATTCTTAATACTCTAGATAGATGGTGAAAACCATCATATTACTGTTGGCTAATTTATTTTTTAGTGTTGCTAATGCTAACTTACTATTTAAAACAGTATGTATCAAAGGAAAGGCAGTCAGCTGTGTTTGACAACTGCATATTTTTGTACTATTTAAGCCTCAATAAGGAGAATTAAGGTGAAATAACTGTTACGGATTCAAATATTGGGGATGGATACAAGAGGAAAAACCACAATAACCACACTGGTCCGGCCGGGTTGAGTCAAACGATGATTTTAATGATCACACGCGTGGGAGATGGACACCGTACGCAGACAGCATCAGATCTCAAAATGGTGGAGCATTGATCAACCTCTTATAGCCTCTAGTGGCCCCCACCTAATCATAAAAGCCTAAACATTCACATGCTTTCTCTCACACGGCGCCTAAGCTATGACCTTGGCTCCCTGTTTATCTGCTCCTGCTGAGATGGGGCAGAAAACTCCAGTATGTTCCGTTCTCTTCTAATCAGACAAATAAGGCGATGACTTTCTGCGAACAGTATTTCTTATAACTCAGCAGTATAATGCATCATAAAACAATATCATTCATTCACAATAAATCAGCAGTCTAATGTAATGCAAATCAGTTTAACAAATGCAATAGTTATCACCTTCTTCTAATTCAGGAGAATAATGCAAACTAAAACTACATAATAATTCACAATCTTTAATTAAGGGTCTAACATGGCATAAAATAATATTATAATCTCACATAACTCAATGTTAATTCCAGTGGCACAGTTTATCATAGGAACTGTGTAAAAATGGCTTTTAGAAAAGTATTTTTGAATTTTTGTAACCAAGTAAAAACATGAAAAGCTCAGATGTTTAGTTGAAATTTGTGTTAAACCTGAACCGTTCTTCTAGCTCTTCTTTTCTTCTTCCTCTCAGGTGGTTTGCAGGCCTTTCGGGCGTTCCTGCGCTCCGAGTTCAGTGAGGAGAACCTTCAGTTCTGGCTGGCTTGCGAGGATTACAGGGTTTCCCCTTCAAACCTGCAGAAGAACAAGGCCTGCAGCATCTACAGCCAGTTTATCAACCCTGACGCTCCACTGGAGGTTGGTAGAGAGGAGCACACATCACTAAACAGCAAATGATGAAGAACAAAACTTATTTAAATAACTTTTCCCTCGTTAGGTAAACCTGGATGCTGAGACCCGGGAGGCTCTGCTGAGTGTGATGGACTCTCCATGTCCCAACACATTCAACAAAGCACAGCAGAGGATCTACAGTCTGATGGCCAAGGACTCCTTCCCTCGTTTCCTGCGCTCACATCATTGCATGGAGGCCGTTAAGGCTTTTTAAACATGCTCAGATTAGTACTAGACCTGCTTTAGAAATAAGTGCTGGTGAATCTGTACTGCTTCAATTGTTGATTGTATTTTAGCAATTAATCTAACATATATGATCATGTTAACCATAAGGTAGTGCTGTCCTTATATGCACAGTATACTATCAGTAAGCTTTAAGTCTGACATTGTAACCTCATAATTATCAAACTTAAATGTAGATGTTGCACCTCTGCATGGCTACAAATTAAATCCAACAAAAGGATTTAAATAAATACCTCATAACAGAGAACTCTTGTACCTTCTCTGCGGTCTTCCTCAGCATCCTTTGTCCATCCCTCCTCTGCACACGTCCAAACCATTTCAGTCTTGCCTGTCTAACTTTGTCTCCAATCACTACAACACATGTGCTTACGTTAGAAAAGCACCAGTAAACTTGCAACCATGTCCGATCATGCAGCTATTGTCAGCATGGCTGGAGTCTGACTGAGCCGAGGCATTTAAAAATGATTTTGCTGCTTTTATTTAACCTGTTTATATTTTCACTGTGATTTGGAAAAGGGTGTGGGGACCTGCCAATCATATTTAAAGTTGTCAGCGTGAGCAGGACAGATTCTGTTATCCTTGTAAAATTCTTATACTCCTTACAAAGCATGGACCAAGTACCATCAAAGGAAAGAAAACAAGTGACACCCAAAAAATGTTCATATTTAAAAAAAAAAAAAAAAGTATATACACTCAACAAAAATATAAACGCAACACCTTTGTTACTGCTCCCATTCCCCATGGGATGGACGTAGAGACCTAAAATTCATTCCAGATACACAATATAACCATCCCTCCCAAACAGTGGTCACAAATCAGTCCAAATGTGTGGTAGTGGGCACATCTGCTATATTGAGATAATCCATCCCACCTCACAGGTGTGCCACATCAGGATGCTGATCTGACATCATGAGTAGTGCACAGGTGTACCTCAGACTGCCCACAACAAAAGGCCACCCTGGAATGT